GGGGTTTTTTTCTGTAATGCATGTTGGTTTTTTTACAACAAACATCAAGCATTTTTAAAAGAGATGGATACTGTCCACTGGCACATTGGGAGCATTTAACCAGAACATACCTTCCTATCTTTTGAAAATTTATAACCTGTGAGAATACCAGGCTTATTTTGGAGTAAGAAAATATTCAAATGCACCAAAGGTCCCCATAGCTTAATTAGTTTTACTGCTTTCCATGCAAACAGAGGGAACATTTAGAGAGTGAACCATTAGTGCCTCTGGGTTAGGAGGGGAAGGTGAAAAGCAAGAAAGGAACCAGAACACACTCCCCTTTAATCAAGTACACCTTCTCCCAAAAGGTCACCTGATGCATTTTGCATAGTCTTGTCTTTTCCACTTACCTTCTCAGTTTCTCTTCCTTTCTGCTCTCAATTCCAGATGTTTCCAGGCTTCTCTGCTCTACCCACATCAGCAGAACAGAAACACCACGTCACGTGTGCTCATTTGGGACGTTCCCACCCTGCAAGGCACAAACCCAACTTGGTGCTACCATTGAGGAGCCAGTGATTTTTCATTCAATTATATTAAAATAGCTGTAGTTATCTTACTGCAAGTTGAAGAAAGACAAGTTTTCTCCTACATGGCTTAGGAGCACAGGACACGAGGTCAGCTCAGTCCTGTGGCTGAGAGATGCTGGTTTCCATACATACTCTCTGGACAGGACTCCAGGTTCTCCATTAGAGACACCTCCCAGTACTTACACATCAGGGGTAGCAGATATTATTTAAGAGCTCAAGAACTCCAATTTGGAACCATGTATCATTAAGCAGATTAAATGCAGCAAGCAAAGGCTCTGGATGGATTTTGCCATTATGGACCAAGTAGGTCTTTTTTATTCCCATTGTTACAGCTGGATGCCTAACACCAACATTTAATTGACATGGACATTACCAAACAACTGGTGTCAGGGGAAAAGGTTCGTTCCTGGGGCTGAATTCCCACAAATACTCTTAAAAATAATTCTACAAGCCCTGCTTTCTGGACAGCATGGGTATCTGCAGTTCACCCTGCCTGCTGGTGCAGACCAAGCCTGGGTCACACGCACCATCTAGTGGCAAGACTGAAAAAGAGATGGTGGGAACTAAAAAAAAAAAATCACCCACTTGACAGAACCGAAGCAAAATCGTTTCAAGTCTGGAACGGACTCACCCCTCTGCTGGGTAGTGAGAGCTGCTTCAAGACAACAAAGGCTAAAACCACAAACAAGCTGAGCACTCTGGGGCCGGTGGTACTCATGGAAATCAATACATTTCAAAGCAAAGTGCCAACACTGGAGGTGAGTTCTGAGGAGACACGGGTGCTATGGAGACGTCTCACGTGCTTCTGTGCCTTACACAGCAAGTGTGGTTTGTGTGTTCTGCTGCCAGTGACAGGAACATCAGAGAGAACCTGTCTGCACTGTCACACATAACACTCTGATACAGAAGAAACACCCCCAGAAAAAACATTATTAAAATAAATTAAAACCAGAGTTAGCTGATTCTCATTCCTGAAAAAAAAGAACAGATACAAGAAATCTTCACTTTGTTCCCCTTCTATGGTAAATTAATGGAATCTTGGAGTCCCTTTCCAATGGCTGACTCCCAGGTCTACTTTGGCCTTTCTGGAGTGGGAAGAGAAAGGAAGGAGCAGGGTCTGCTAGGCCCAGACAAAACCTGCAGACACTGCACTGCACAACTGACCTTACCAACTGACGTGGGAAGGCCAGAAGGTGGCCAGACATGGGGCTGAGATCTGAGCAGGTTTTCCAGAAACTCTGGAGGCATTACTGACCAGGTCTTCACTTTGCAATCCAAACCAAACTGACAGAAGGAGCTCTCTGGTCTGCAGATCTAGAAAGTTTCAGAAAGTACAGGCAAGTCTTTTGGGGATCAAGTTTCTTACAAGCTGCCATTTGACCCTCAACACACTTCACTCACTCTGGCTGCAGGTGCAAGTCTCCAGAGCTGCTTCAGGAATGAAGTTAAAATATGAATTAGACTTCAAGAAGGTTTGAAACAGATATTGGATTTATTGGTCAGCTATGAGTAGGAAAATACATTGGTAAAGAAAAAGAAGACCCTGTATATAAATATAATACTAACTAGTTAAAATTTGACCAAGAAGAAAGTTCCACTGAAGAGAACAGTAAAAGCCCTTGTTTACCATCAGACCATATTCAGTTTCCCATTTATCTTATTGAAGAGCTGCCTATAGACAAATGCAACATTCTTTGAGCTTAGTGCAGATAATGTGCTGGTTTTTGTTACATGAATGGTAAACAAGAGTTAGTCCAGTGCATTACACATTATACAGAAGTACTGTGAATAAAGACTAAGATATTCTATTTTAGACACTACTTAAACATACCAAGACACTTAAGTATTACAAATTTATGCAACCAAAAGAAAAGAATAGCAGTTAACATACTAAAAAATACTGTGTCTGGCTGGATGAAAAAGGCTTGCTACTTAAGCAGTTAACTGAACTTTAAGTTTTACAGTGTAAAGTTTTGCTTTTTTTTCCCCAATGGTGTTGTAATTATTTTGTCTTCATACAGGTTTTGTGTGGTAGAAAAAGCAAACCAGAAGCTATTTCCTGAGTCTGCTCTAAAAAAACAATTTGAAGGACTTACTAAAGTAATATCAGAGATATATTTACAATGTCCCTAAAGTCACTTTTGTCAAATGCTAGCCATATTTACCTTTTTTTTTTTTAAAGCTGCTAAAAGGACAAAATAATTACAACATGCACCGACTTACATGCTCTGTCCCTCCCCCTACTTGTGTTATGTTAAAAGCAGTAACTTGTGGTATTAGTCTTGTACTCTAATCAACTCTTTTAGTTAAAGGTATATTTCAGTTTAAACTTTGACACCCAGAATTCTTGGTAAATGTAAATAAAAGTAGACAAGACAGGGCTGAGTGTACTTTAAGTGGGAAGAAGCCTGGTCTAACCTAAATAAATCCGTTCAACCCCAAGAATGTTCTGTGACTTTTGCTATATGTGCTTTTACAACAAGAACACTGAAGGTACAATTATGGCAACACCCAAAACCACCTCGAATAAAAATATTGCAAATAACCATTTTAATGTTAAAACTATGAAGCAAACATTTTGATTTTGTGAAGACACTGTTTATTGCCTTATTCTACGTTATAGCTGGAAATTGAGACTTTTGAGTTAGATTTGACACAGCACTATATATTTTTCCTTGACAGATTGTGTGAGAAATTTTCTCTCAGCTCTGTTTTTGTAACATCTGGTC